CAGTGCCTGACACATATTGGCATTCAATAAAATCTGTTGTGTAAAATAAACAGAAAGATCACCCCTCAGTGAAGGCACCTCGAAGCTTTGATAAGAGTGATGTAGAATGTGTCTGTCCAGATCTTGTGGGAAAGGGGGGAAGGTGGTGTCTGCAGTTACTCCTGAACTGCCTTTCACTTGGTAAGAGTCCTTTGGTTTGTCCAGGATCACAGTTCATCATCTCAGTGATTGGTAAGATTCCTTAGAAGAAGGAGGCACTTGTGAGGATGCAAAGAAGCCCCTGGATGGCATAAATGGTTAAGTGCTTGACTACTACTGAAAAGTTGGTGGTTCAAACTCATCCAGGGGCACCGTGGAAGAAGGTCCTGGTAATCTCTTCCGAAAGATCACAGCCTTAAAAACCCTATGGAGTGCAGCTGGGAAATGACTTAACAACAGCTGTTTTGTTTTTGTTTATTTGTTTTTTAACTATCCAAAGACAACAGTCCCTATACATTGTACGAAGGCCAGTTCTTGGTTGTTGTATTGAGTGAAAGCTACAAACTCTCTGAGCAAGTAGACAACTATGGTTAAGTATATTACTTGTGAACAGGAAAGAGGGAAACGAGCTCACTAGCACACAACTCTAAATTCATAGTTTTCAACTTCGGCAGTACATTACAGTCTCCCAGGAAGCTTTTAAAAATTATGGATGCTCATCTCATGCCCCGTCTCAGAACAATTACATCAGAATCTGAGAGTGGGAACTGGGCATGGGACTTTGTAAAGCCCCAGATGATTCTAGTGTGTAACCAGTATTGAGAACCATTAGTTTTAAAGGAAAGGGCTAAGCAGATTAGCAACTACATGTTGTTTTTTAAGATGATTTCAGTGTGTTATGGTTGAAAGAGCATGTGAGCTGTGTGACCCTGGGATAATTATTTACTTTCTCCGAGCTTTGCATTCTTTCTTTCTTTCTTTATTTTAATTGTGCTTTAGGTGAAAGTTTACAGTTCAAGTTAATTTCTCGTACAAAAATTTATACATATATTGTTATATGACAATAGTTGCAATCCTATAATGTGACAGCACACTCCCCCTTCCCACCCTGGGTTTCTTGTGTCTATTCAACCAGATCCTGTCCCTTCCTGCCTTCTCATCCTGCCTCTGGATGGGAGCCACACATTTGGTCTCGTGTATCTGCTTAAATTAAGAAGCACACTCTTCACGAGTATTATTTTATGTTTTATAGTCCAGTCTAATCTTTGTCTGAAGAGTGAGCTTCAGGAATGGTTTCAGTTCTGGGCTGACAGAGCGTCCGGGGGTCATAGCTTCGGGGGTTCCTCCAGTCTCAGTCAGACCATTAAGTCTAGTCTTTTTACTAGAGTTTGAGTTCTGCACCCCACTTTCTCCTGCTCCATCAGGGACTCTCTGTTGTGTTCCCTGTCAGGGTGGTCATTAATGGTAGCCAGGCACCATCCAGTTCTTCTGGTCTCAGGCTGATGGAGTCTATGGTTTATGTTGCCCTTTCTGTCTCTTGGGCTGATGTTTTCCTTGTGTCTTTGGTGTTCTTCCTTCTCCTTTGTGAGCTTCACTTTCTTCATCTGTAAAATAGAAATAAAATACTACTTACCTCATAGTGTTGTTGAAAGAATAACATAAAATTTTGTGATTGAAGTTAGCACCATTCCTTGCACTACCTTGGCTCAATAAATCTTTTAAAAATACGTAATATGGAATTGTAACCTTAGAACTACCCAATACACATTAATAAGCCAGGGATAAATAAGAAAATTTCATCTGGGACAGTAAATGGGCTAGGATGACATCATAACTAAGGGAGGGAACTCATTTCAATGGGGACAGCAAAACTCGATGTTCCAGGCTCCATGAAGATGAATCCCTGGCCTTCATTCACTTCACACTGGTGAAAGGACATTCCCAGGATTCTGCCAGTGACTGCTCCATCAAGCCATTAGCACAGCAATATAAGAAAGGGAAAGGCATTTGGGTGTCATCAAGCCTGTTCTTCATGTCATGTCCAGGGCTCCTTTTGTTTGTTTGTTGGTTTTTTATTACCAGAGCCAGGGTGGTGCAAATGGTTTGCATTTGACTACTAACCTAAAGGTTGGTGGTTCAAACCCACCTAGTGGAGCCTGGAAGAAAAGCCTGGTGGTCTGCTTCCATAAAGGTTACAGCCCAGAAAACTCTATGGAGCAATTCTACTCTATAATACATGGGGTCACCATGAGTTGGAATTGACTCAATGGCAATGTGTTTCATTACAGCCAGAGACTGCTGGAGACAGAATAAATTAGGAATGGGGGTTGATAAATATTGGCTGTTTCCTGTTTATTTGGAATTGGGGGTGAGGGGTGCTGCACTGAGTATTTGTAGGTGTGTGTTCTTTCATACTTGAGCAGGTATTGTTGGACTGCTGCTCATAGGACAGCCCTAGAAATGAGGATGCTCTTATAGCTAGGTACTTTGTATGTGTTTAAATTTCATATGTGCGTTTAATTTCTCAACCCTGTAAAATAGAAATGATTTTACCTGGTTCACAGTGAGGTTATATAGCTGGGAGCTGGAGCAGCATCATTTCTCTGGACAAGTTATGTGACTTTTGGTGAATGATACAGAATGCAGTACAGGGCAAAAATCTCTCTGCACTGCGCTGGGGACCTTCCAGCAGTGTCTTGACATTTACCAGCATTATAACTCACATGTAAGCAGCATGCTGTTGTATGTGTTCTAGGATAGGTAAAATGAACACAATTAATAAAAACAATATTTTGATTGAGACCGTTTAAGGTTGTAAGTTAGAATAGTCTCAGGAGGAACTCTTTCTCTCCTTTTTTTTTAGTATTTCTTGTGTTGTTGATAGGTGCTGTCAATTCGGTTCTGACTTATAGCGATCTTATATACAACAGAATGAAATGCTGCCCGGTCCTGCACCATCCTCACAATTGTTGCTGTCTGAGCGCATGGTTGCCGCCACTGTGTCAATCCATCTCGTTGAGGGTCTTCCTTTATTTCGCTGACGCTCTACTTTACCAAGCATGATGTCCTTCTCCAGGGACCGTTCCCTCTTGATAACATGTCCAGAGTAGATAAGACAAAGTCTTGCCATCCTTGCTTCTAAGGAGCATTCCAGAGAGATTTCTGGTAGTCCACAGTATATTCAGTAATCTTCTCCAACACCATAATTCAAATGCATCAATGCTTCTTCGGTCTTCCTCATTCATTGTTCAGCTTTTGCATGCATATGAGGCAGTTGAAAATATCATGGCTTAGGTCAGGGGCACCTCAGTTCTCAAAGTGACGTCTTTGCTTTTCAACACTTTAAAGTGGTCTTTTGCAGCAGATTTGCCCAATGCAATATGTCATCTGATTTCTTGACTGCTGCTTCCATGGGAGTTGATTGTGTATCCAAGTATAATGAAATCCTTGACAACTTCGATAGCAAGTTTGTATTTCTTGTACCTAACCTAAAGCCATATTTCCTTTGTTATATTGCCTCTCTCACTCCTTTTTCCCACTCTACTTTAGCATTCTTATTTAAAACCAATTTGGGTCTCTCCTTACATCAGCCATCTGGACTTGGTATATGCTTGTTTTTATGGAAATTTTTAAACATACAAAAGTAGAATATTAAAATGAATCTCATATCGCCATCACTCAGCTTCAGTAATTAACTCCTGGCCAAACTTGCTTCGTCTAGGCCCCAGCCTACTTCTTGCCCCTTCTCCTGGGTTACTTTTTAACAGCTTTATTGAGATATATTTCACATGCCATACAATTCACCCATTTAAAGTGTACAATTCAATAGCTTTTAGTATATTCAGAGTTGTGTATCCATCACCACAATCAATTTTAGAACGCTTTCATTATCTCCCCCAAAATACCCTATGCCCCTTAGTCATCACCCTGCAAATTCTCTACACCAACCCCAGCCTTATTGTTGTTGTTAGGTGCTTTGGAGTTAATAGCAACTCATAGTGACAGAGTAGAACTGCCCCATAGGGTTTTCTTGGCTGTAATCTTTACAGAAGCCGATCCACAGGTCTTTCTGCCACTGAGCTATTGGGTGGGTTCCAACTGCCAACCTTCATAACGGTCATGCTGCCAGGTCTCCTCCCCCCAACCCTAGGCAACCACTAATCTGCTTTCTATGGATTTGCCTGTTATGGATGTTTAATAAAATGGAATCATACAATATGTGTTCAGATGTGGTCCTTTGTCCATTGCTGAGGCTGTGTTTGTGGGTGGAGGAGGAATGGCCCTTGTGCCCCTGGGAGTCTTCCTGTGCAGGGCTCAAGGGTAAGGAATGACTGATGGGCCAGGCTGGATTCTTGCTTAGGGCCAGAATGGCAGAGAGAGCCATTATGAGGTGAGAAATTCAAAAGCTGGCACTGGGGCTGTTGTTAGCCTCCATTGAGTTGGCCACATCTCATGGTGACACTGTACGCAATGGAACAAAATACTGCCTGGTCCTGTACCATTCCCGTGATTGGTTGTAGAGCGCACCATTATGATCCACAGTGTTTTCATTGGCTGATTTTAGGGAAGAAGATCGCCAGGCTTTTCTTCCTATCTCTCACACTTGAGAATTTGGTTTGGAAAGGAATTACTGCACAATCCTAGACTGAGTTTTACTAATTGACCCATCAAGGGGCTGCTGATAGTCATGTGATAAGAGTAGTAAGGAACTAATGCCTGTGGACAGTTTGTAAAAATAAATGAAAATACTATCGGTGTTTTCAAAATTCATAGACGTCAATGTGTTCTGCATACAACTCACAACCCCCCAGTAAAAAAATACTCATTGAAGAAAACAAAACCAGACATTAGAAATCCCAGTAACCCCACCACCCAGAGAAAGCCCCTGTAAGCATTTTGGGTCCCCCTCCAATGGTATATTTCTGCCTTAGTCTAAAGTGGTTTTATTTGAACAAAACAACATTAGTGCTGAAATGTTTATTTCTGTAGTAACCCTTGTCTGCCTTGCCTTTTTTGTACAGGATTCAATAAAAGCTCTAAAGGAAGAAGTCTTATTGGTAGGAGTAATGGCTCATTTCAAGTCACTGGAAAAGGAGTTACAGTGAAACCAGGCTTTTCCGTGGATGAGTTTTCTGCCTCCGTTCTCACTGGAAAACTGACCACTGTCTTCCTCCCAGTTGTCTACACGATTGTATTTGTGGTTGGTTTGCCGAGTAATTGCATGGCCCTGTGGGTATTTGTTTTTCGAACACAGAGGAAGCACCCGGCAGTGATTTACATGGCCAATCTGGCCTTGGCAGACCTCCTCTCTGTTATCTGGTTCCCTTTGAAGATTGCCTATCACATACATGGCAACAACTGGGTGTATGGGGATGTTCTCTGCAAGGTGCTGATTAGCTTTTTCTACGGCAACATGTATTGTTCCATTCTCTTCATGACCTGTCTCAGTGTGCAGAGGTACTGGGTCATCATGAACCCCATGACGCACCCCAGGAAGAAGGCAAACATTGCCATAGGTGTCTCCCTGGGAATCTGGCTGTTGATTCTGCTGGTTACCATCCCTTTGTATGTTGTGAAGCAGACCATCTACATTCCAGCTCTTAACATCACAACCTGTCACGATGTTTTGCCTGAGGAGGTGTTGGTGGGGGACATGTTCAATTATTTCCTCTCTCTGGCCATTGGAGTCTTCCTGTTCCCAGCCTTCCTGACGGCCTCTGCCTATGTGCTGATGATCAGAGTGCTCCGATCTTCTGCCATGGACGAAAACTCGGGGAAGAAAAGGCAGAGAGCCATCAAACTCATTGTCACTGTCCTGGCCATGTACCTGATCTGCTTCACTCCTAGTAATCTTCTACTCGTGGTGCATTATTTCCTGATTAAAAGCCGGGACCAGAGCCACGTCTATGCCCTGTACCTCATAGCCCTCTGCCTCTCCACTCTCAACAGCTGCATTGACCCCTTTGTCTATTACTTTGTTTCAAAAGATTTCAGAGATCATGCAAAGAACACTCTGCTCTGTCGAAGTGTCCGAACTGTAAAGCAGATGCAAATATCCCTTACCTCAAGTAGATTCTCCAGGAAGCCCAGCTCTTACTCTACAAGTTCAACCAGTGTTAAAACCTCCTATTGACTTGTCTGTCTCCCCAGATGGAAGTTTTACAGTAAGATTTGGACCCTGCTTAACGTTATGGGGATGTTCCTGTTATTTCCTAACCAAGTGGGTCTTACCACATATCACGGTTATGCAGCACCTCCTCAGGATTGCTAGAAGCTTCCCTCTTTGCATGAGAAATGGCCCCGGAGTTAGGATGTTGTCAGTTTCTGAATTCCTTTTCTCAGATGCTTCCTGAAACTGAACTGGCAGAACCTGACTTTCCAGAAGGTGGCAAAAAGACAGAATTCTGTGACTTGGAAAAATCAGTCTTGGCTTGAAGACTAATTTCTTAGTTGAAACTATATTTCTTTTACATCTGGGCCCAGTCCAGCCTTATTAGGGCTTAAGGGCCAGCTGTCAGAGATTATCAGTACAACAAGTGACTTTATAGATGAGAAAACTAAAGAAGTGACCTTCCCACAGTCAAGTTTCCAAACAAGGGCTGTGAGTCAGGATTGGGCAGGAGAATTCAAGTGTTCAGCGTGGTTCGTGTGACACCATTGACATCATCATAAAAAACAGTTGCTGTCGAGTCAGTTTCAACGCATGGTGACCCCACGTGTGCTGAGTAGAACTGAGCCATAGGGTTTCAAGGCTGTGACCTTTCGGAAGCAGATTGCCAGGACTTTCTTCATAGGAGCCTCTGGGTGTGTTGGAACCGCCAACCTTTCTGTTAATAGTCAAACGCTTACCCGTTTGCACCACCCCGGGTCTCCAACATCATCAAGGAGCTTGTTAAAAGCCCGAAGGTTCCTCAGACTCAGTAATACTGAGATGCTTGGTGAACAGGCCCAAGAGTCTGCATTTTAACCAGCCTGTGCGTGATCCTTATGGACACCAGGGTTTGAGAACCAATGGACTATGTGTGTGTTCCACTTGACGAGGTGTCATAGTAGATGCTGAAGAGAGAGGCAAGCAGAATGCTTTTGCTTCCTCTTTTATGTCTGGTTTTGAGTGAAATCTGTTTGTTGACTTATTGGAATTTTCATTTTTATTAATCCTTTCAGCTTTTGTATGTATCATTATTTACTTCATGGAAAATACAATGAAGATTTTAAACTTGTAAATCCAAATTTTGGATAACTTTTTACTGACTTCAGTGAAATCTTCAGGTAGTATAAGTAATAGACGGTTTTGTAACGAAGAATAACATTCACCCCTTAGTATTTTTCAAAATGACAGTTGGGATATTTATAGTCTGTTTTGTTTGTTTGTTATTAAATATGAAATTATACAAGGCTTCACTGGGTTTAAACCACATCTGTTCGGAAGATAGCACTAAAGTAGATGTGATTTGCAACATGTTTGAACTGTACTTGACTCCAAGCAGGTTTTATATAACTGCTCTATTTGTGACTTTTAAAAATAACTATTTTATAGATCGTATAGTATGATTGATTTATAAAGAACATCTGTTTTTTACAACTTGTTTCTGAGTGTTTTTTTTTTCTTTTTTTTTTGAGGAGGGGGAGGGAGAAGGAAGCCATAGCATCACTCTTTTTCTAAGAAGAAATGATGCACTACTAACACCGTATTTTTTTATGCAAATGGTGCTATACCGTACATACTGTTCTGTGACAAATTGTTTTTCATTTAAAAACATGTTTTAGAATTCTTTCCATGCCCACATCTATAGGTTGACCTCCAGTGGTAAAGGATACAGACTCTTTAGTGTTTTGGATATATTGTGATATATTTAGCCATTTCCTTATGATGGGTCCTTAAGTTGTCTTTCCCTCTCTCTGTCTTTCTTTTTTTGTTATTAAAACAGTGCTGCATTGAACATCTGTGCGCAGACATCTTTGTGAGTATTTCGGTAGGACAAATTCCTGGAATTAAAATGACCAGGTCAAACTGAATAGAAAGATAAAATAAAACTTTTTCTTATTGGCTACATACACCCATTCTCATCTCCCAGAGAGAACTAATTTTTATAATAATTTGTTTATAGAAAATACATTCTTAAAATAAGAATGAATATGTATGTACATACATACAGACACATACGCATTTATATGTTAACTTCTAAATAAGTTTATATGGATCTCCCTCATATTTTTAAGAGCACATAGTAGTCCATGTATGGGTGACCAATTAGTACCGTATTGATGCCTAATAAACCTGTTGCCATAAAGTCAATTCTGACTCATAGTGACCCTATGGGATAGAGTAGAACTGCCCTATAGGGCTTCCAAGGCTGTAAATCTTTACGGAAGTAGACTGCCACATCTTTCATCTTTTCCTGTGGAGGAGCTGGTGGGTTCAAACCGCTGACCTTTAGATTAGTAGCCGAGTGCTTAAACCACTGTACCACCAGGGGTCCTTCATACCTATATACCAAAAACGAAAAGAAAACACCAAACCTGTTGCCACTGAGTCAATTCTGACTGATAGCGACCCTATAGAACAGTAGAACTGCCCGCAGGGTTTCCAGGGAGGGGCTGGTGGATTCAAACTGCTGACCTTTTGGTTAGCGGCCAGGCTCTTAACCGTTGTGCCACTAGGGCTTTTCTTGGTTCATTTTCACCAAGTCTTTGAATCTACATTAAGAAGCATAAATTATTTGAGAAAATAGTGTAAGAATTTTTGTTTGCTGAAAGCAGAAGCTTTTCAAATAATTTTGTTTCACTTGCCTTTGAGAGACGGCTCAAAAAGGCCCAAGCCTGCCTGAGGTAGGCCCCTCATTCAATGTGTGAGGAACTCTGGCCCAGACTAGGGAAGTACCTCGGATGTGGGTGTCTGCTCTTGTATTTCATGTCTTACTGTGGTCTGGTTTTTCTAAGCTGAGTCCTAAAATAGCTTGAATATTTGAATATTTTGTATTCCACTGACTATTTACTAAAAAGAGGGTGCTCTTAATTTGAAAGTGAATGCAGATTTGCAGACCTGCTGTGTGGGACATATATGCTAAATTTACTGAGGATTTCCTTGTGTCACTTCAGTTTGCAGCAGGAGTTTCAAATGTGTAATTTCCTGGTTATCAAGATATCATAAATCCTGGGGCTACAGTTTGATTAATATGCATAGTTTTGTGATTACAACTTTCTTCCTGAAACTCCTCTGGAGGCCCTTGAGAGGACTGGGATATATTGAAGAATCAAAGATTAAGTTGGTCACAGCTATCCTCCTAGTCTTGTGGATTAAGTTATGGTTTTGTTCTGCAGAGTCTGAATGTCTTCTTAAGAAGAGAAGTTTCGGATTCCACACTAGTCAAAACAAATATGCCCCCCATCCCAATTCTGAATAAAAACAACTCTGAGGAATCAAGTCTCTACATTTTCTTCCAGCTTTGGAACTTGCTGACAAGTGGTTATAAATACTTGGGATCACTCAGCCACAACTTGGAAATGTCTTTATTGCAGTAGAAAATGATGAATTCAAAGGAGTCTTGGTAGTGCAATGGTTAAGTGCTTGGCTGCCAACCAAAAGGTTGGCTGTACAAACCTAACAAACAGCTCCATGGAGCAAGACCTGGGGATCTGCTCCTGTAAAGATCACAGCCTCGGAAACCCTACGGGGCAGTTCTACTCTGTCCTATAGGATTGCTTTGAGTCAGAATTGACTTGACAGCACACAATGACGATGATGAATTCTATGCTTTGGGCATGAACTGCCCTTGCCTCTCTACCAGTTGGTCAGTCTTACAGATTCTTGCCTAGTCTCTGACTTTATTGGTGAGAAATTAGGCATGGCCAGAGTCATGGACCTCCTCTTTCTGGAGAAACCACAGCCCCAAACCTGGAGCCTCCATCACAAACTCTAGGCAAGTCATCAGCACCCAGCAACAGCGTGACTGGTTCATTTGTTTATCCAACAAACATTTACTGGGCGTGCTAAATGCAAATAACTGAACCAGATTCCCACCTTAAGTAGCTGACAGCCCAGTTGTAGAGCTGATGTTCTCAGTGAAATGCATCAATATCGAAACAACAACGACAAACCGTCCAGTATTTGGGCTACTTGAAAGCCTATTCCAAAGCTCGTTCTTGAGAGTGGAAGGAAATCGAGGAAAACACAGAAGACAAAATAGTTTACAAAGGACCACTATTGTGGCTTACCCCTCTTAACACTGTTTTGCTTATGATTTTAAAAAAATTATAAAGTAATTAGTGGTTCTTCTAAAATAAATACATTTAAGAGTATAAGAGCATATGGTGCAAAATGAACATGTCCCCTCCCTACCTACCCATGCCAGAACCCAGTTATTCCCTTTGTGTATCCTTTAAGATATTGTCTATGCATGTAGAAGTATGCATACTCATATGTTTTTTAAAAATAGAAGGGAAATATACTATGTGTATTAGCTAATATTTATACATAACAAATTTCCTCAAAACTTAGTGGCTTAAAACAACAATGAAGTCCCTGGGTGGTAAAAATGGTTAATATGGTTGGCTGATAACTGAAAGATTGGAGGTTCAAGTCCACCCAGAAGCACCTTGGAAGAAAGGCCTAGTGATCTATTTCTGGGGAAAAAAATCGGCCACTGAAAACCCTGTGAAACACAGTTCTACTCTGTCACACATGGGGTCGCCATGAGTCAGAATCGATTTGATGGTAACTGGTTTTGGTTATATCAACAATAAGTATTTACGACCATAAGTTTCTATGGGTCAGGAATTCAGGAACAGTTTAGCCGGATGGTTCTGGCTTGGGGTCTCATGAGGTGGCGATCAAGATATTAGCCAAAAAGTTTATTAGTGGTTGCAGGGGCAGGAGGGAGGGAAAAAGTGCGGGTCCTTGTTTAGGAAGCAGTGAATATGTTTATGGTGATGGAAACTTGGTAACAGACGCTGGTGATGGTTGCACAACATGATTAATGTAATTAGTGTTGCTGAATTGTATATGTAAAAATTAGTAAATGTTGTGTTATATATGTATTTTACAACAACAACAAAAAATGATATTGGCCGAAGTTGCTGTCATCTGAAGGCTTGACTAGGACTGGAGGATCTACTTTCAAAGTGGCTCACTCACATGCCTAGCAAGTTTATGCTCGGTGTTGGCAGGAAGCCTCACTTTCTCTCCTTGTGGGCTTCTCCACAGAACTGCTTGAGTGGCTTCATAACACAGAAGCTGGTTTTCCCAAAACTAGTGATTCAAGCCTCAGAAGTCATACACCGTCACCTTCACCATATTCTATTGGTCACACAGACTAGCTCCGATTCAATTTGTGAGGGGACTACATACTGCATAAATACTAGGAGGTAAGGATCATTGGAGACCATCTTGGAGGCTGGCTACCACACTACATGTATGAACACATCTTGGTCATTATTTCCATATTAGCATTTATACATTGACCTCATTATTTTAAATGGAAGTATCCATTGATGCACCATAATTTAAGGACTCCTCCAGCCTTTAGGTTGTTTCCAGTTTTTTGCTATACATATACATATATATATATATATTTTATATTGCTATACAAGCACTACTTGAGTGACTCTTTTTCTATATCTTTGAAAAGTGTTCAGTATCCATTCACCATGCATTATGCGCCAAATGATGTCCTAGGCACTGAGGAATATTGTGGAGAATGAAATAGACAAGAATTCTGTTCTCATGGAGTTTATTTTCTAATTGGAGAGAGACTAAGAAGCAAATAAGAAAAGTATCAGATAGTAATAAATGCTAAGAGAGGGTGTGTGATAGTGACTGGGGGACTATTTTATGTTGAGAAGTCAGGGAAGGTTTCTAAAGAAGCAAAATTTCAGTTCTGATCTAAAGGACAAAAAAGAGCCAGACGTGGGAAGATCCCCAAATAAGGGCCTTATGGGAGTGAGAAGGTGACGGGGAGAAGAGTACGGGACAAGTAGTTTGAAGAGGTAGGCAGATGCTGGATCATTGAAGCTAAGCTATTCTTTTGGGTGGGCTGCAAAAAACTTCTGTTCCATCCTTTGTTTTAGAAAGTTCTCTATCATTCCTTCATGGGGAATATGAGAGTATGGCTGCAGCACTATAGCTGATACCTAAGAGCTTGGAGTCTGAGCCCTGGGCCCTAGCCATCTCATCTGCAAATTAAGGATTAGTTCTCAGCATTGCTGGCTCTTGGCTCAGGTCTGAGTTCCTCATCCCTGCTTCACCATGTAGCCTAGGGTGAATGACTTAAGTCTGTGAAAAAGGGTTTGATTACAGTTTCTATACAGCATTGGGTAAATTTAATTACCTAATCCCGAGAAAGCATCTTTAGCCAACCCGTGTGTTCTGAGCTCTTTCAGAAGCCACCTGGGCACTTAAGGGTACTGTGTCTAGTTCTTATTAGTGAAAGACAGATTTTCCCCCTAGCTAGAGATTTGTGTAGATTGGAAACATTGTTATTAAATATTCATAAATGATTTAGCAGAATTTATGGCTAAAAATTTGTACAGTGTGAAGCTTAAGGTTATGTGTCAACTTGCTAGGCCATGATCCTCAGTGGTTTCGCAGATATTATGTAATCATCCTTCATTTTGTGATCTGATGT